AATAATGGAAGAACATGAGATAAGTTATATGATAGAGTCATAAGAAATGAAATGAACATGAGAGAATAAGATAATCAAGTATAAGTTATATGATATGGTATAAGTGATTATACGAGAAATGTTAGGAGACTCTAAGAGAATAGTATGAATTCGAGGGCATAAATAAGGATACATAAGTAATATAGGGAAGATTGATAAATTAAAGGAAACTATGGTTTATGTATTATAGTGAAGAGCTACAAAGTTTTATTAAAGAGTATTGGGGAAGTCATGAGAAATTGAACTAAATAAATAGATGGTTTATGTGAGTGGAAAAGGAAAATGATATAAAATAAATGGAAATTATTTATAAGATAGCATGAGACTAATTAAACATGTAATATAAACTTTATAAAGGAGTACTTGGGTAAAATCATTATATGATACAATTATAGAGTATTACTATACAAATTATATTAAAATATGATATATGAGAATGTGAGTAAGTTTATAGGATATTGATAGAACATATAAGAATATTTAAATGTATGCTGATATGAAAAAGGGAATACAAAGAAATGGAGCATAAGGTAGATAATATGATATCAGTTATTATATATCTATATGATATATGTCATCAGGTAATATGAAAGGACTCTGAAAATTGATATAAGCTACGTGAAAGTGTTTAGGTGTTTCTATATGTTATATGAAGTATATGATCTTATGTGAACAAGATATGATAAGTATGTTTACATGAATAAATGTGATTGGGTGAGAAATGATATAAATTATATGAAAACATGATATATGTGACATGTGAATTATATGGAAATGATCTACGTGTAAGTGAACTATGTAACTATGTGATAATATGAAAAGAAGCTATGTGATACGTGATATGTGAAAGTGAATTACAAGTTTATGTGAATATTTGAAATGAAATAAATGATAACGCCCATGTTATGTGTCATGAGAGCTAGGGGTATAGTTGGCATGCCAAGAGTCAAGGGTCTACGCGGTCCTTCGGGACATATGTATATTCTTTGGAACATGTGTGAAGTCTTGAAATACACATACTTGATCCCTAGTATATGTATATGATTCTTAAGGAATAATATGTGGTCCTTATGAACATTATTATATGGCACTACGGTGCAATTCTACGCGGTCCTTCGGGATATATATATATTTTGTGGAACATATGTGAAGTCTTGAAAGACACATACTTGATCCCTAGTATATGTATATGATTCTTAAGGAATAATATGTGGTCCTTATGGACATTATTATATGGCACTACGGTGCAATTCTACGCGGCACTTCGGTGCAATTATACGAGCTGTGGTGACAACATTAGTGCACAACCTCTATAGACTCACATATCGATAGTTCTCACATATGTACATGGGCTAATCCAGAGATATGAACAAATATATGTTAGTGGTATGATAAATGTTATAGAAATGATATGATTTTATATGATACGAAAAAAGCATGGAATTGGTATAACATGATAGAACAGAACATGCATGTATTGATATATGTTATAAGTGCATTACAAGTTGTTATGCCTCACTAAGTCTTCGACTTAGCGTGTGATTGTTTCACACGTAGGTTTCAAGAAGAGTAAAGAGTAATGCGGAGCAAGACAGGTCAGTTCTCCTTACCAAATGTCATATCAGAAAATATATGTGCTGGTTATAGAGTGTAGTTGGCATGTAGTCTAAAGATATAAATTGTATGAACTCTGATATATTTTTGTAAACGTTTTGAATAAGTTAAATGTATTCAAAGTTTTTAAATTACTCACTATTTTATACGAATAAATGTTTGAAAAGTCAATGTGACACTTCGGACTCGTATCCGGGTCGGATACGGGTTGGGGTGTTACATTCATCCTGAAATTTTCATAGCTATGCGTTAGAATACTAATTTTAGATTTCTTTACCTCATCGGTACTTCATGAGTGACTTGAAGTTTGTCCTATATTTCTTTGGCGGTTGTACACGATGAAACTCTTCCGTATTCATGTGGTCCAAGAGCACAAAAAATGATATGGATGGCTTTGGAGTTGAGCTGGAACATTCTTGTCTCTCCTTCACTCCACAACATTGGATGAGTAAGAGGTTTGATGTATACTTCTTCTACGACATTCCATGCTCCCATGTCACTTGCTTGAATGAAGTACATCATTCTATTCTTTCAATAGGCATAGTTAGCTCCATTGAAGAAATGAGGCTTGTTGACGGGCATCGAATCGAGACCGGAATCGAAGTTTGAAGCGAAGGCCATTGATGACTTTGATTATCGATATAACTCTTCCCGAATTGACTCAAGAGGCGATTAAACCTTCAAATGAGTTAGGCTTTGATACCAATTATTGAGTTAATCGATTGACGGAATCGGCCAAGAGGGGGTGAATTGGCAATAAAAATTTTGGTGGAAGCTTTTGCAGAAAATTGAAAGAAATTGCACAGCGATTTAGAGTGGTTCGACTTTATCAACCAAAGTCTACGTCCACTACCTTAGCTATCCACACTAAGGATTTTCCAACAAATTCACTAATTTGTTCTTTCTTTTGAAGCCAAAGAGATAACCTTACAACTCCCTCAAGAATATACCCTAATTCTTGAGAACACTTTTTTCTCAAAGAGAAATACAAATTTGCAAACTTACAAGAAAAATCTCACAAGGCAAATATGTTTGCATAATTCTAGAACAAAGAAAGAACACTCAAGAATAAATACAATTGAGCACAATAAGTGTTCTTGAAAGCAAAATGAATATTGAATGAAAAATAGGCTTGAAATGCTCAAACTTGAGGTTTGATGCTTTCTCTTTGATTCTCTCTTGATTCTAATTGCTTGATATTTCTTGTTATTGATCAATGGCTTCTAAGCTTGCTTAAATACACCTTGAATCACTTCTGAACGTTGGGGATGATTAGAGAAGATATTATAGCCGTTTTAGTATGAAAATAATTAATAAAACAGCTTGGAGCGTGGGGGGTATCGGTACCCCATATGGGGAATCGGTTCCCTAAGTGTAAAATTCAAATATTTCGACCGTTATACAAGGGGGAATCGGTACCCCCTGGGGGGGAATCGGTTCCCTCCGAGCATACTGGAATTCTCGGAGCCAAACCATTCAGGGGGAATCGGTACCCCTTTGGGGGAGAATCGATTCCCTCTGAGCAATCTGGAATTTTTGGCTTTGAAATGGTTCGAAATACTTTGTAAAATTATTTTGAGATTGTTTTAAGATTAAAATTTAATTTTACACTTGAGTAAGGATTAAAAATGATCTTTGAAAGATTTGGAGTAATGTTTTGATATTCGAATAGTTATATCGAATATACTTAGAAAATCATTTGGAAAAATCTTAAAATTCATTTAACTTAATTTGTTATATCGAAATATCAAAATGTTTTCAACAGTATTGATATTGTGCTTACAGTATCGATACCACATGAATAGTACCGATATTATTCTTGTCGTATCGATACCCAAGATAAAACAAGTATCGATACTCCCATGGCAGTATCGATACTGCCTTTTGGTTTTAAATGTGCTCAGATTTCAATATACAACATTGGTATCGATATTGTCTGAGTATCAATACTAGAATTGATATTACAAACCCTAGTATCGATACTTCCTATCCAACGGTCATATAACAACTAGTTTTTATTAGAGTAGTATCAATACTCATAGCCCGAATACCGATACTCCCTGGTCTAGACATTTTTATTTTGGAGATTTTTAATCTCCAACGGCTAGAAACATTCACAAACGCATTTCAACATATAAAATGAAGTTCAAGACACTTTAAGAAGGTTACAACACCTATCCAAGCAATCAACATCAAGGGAAAAACTCTTTCAATCTTATTTTCCCTTTTTTTATTGTAAATAGAGTGTTTTTAGTGAGTTTAATTGTGTAAACACCTTCCTTTGAGAGGTTTCTTGTTTACAATCTTTTATCCTTTGTAAAAGGTGTTTTGGTTATAGCTTAGCCATTGAAAAGATAGGGAAATTGTAAAGGTTACTCTTGAGCCTAGAAAAAGAAAGAACAAACTAGTGAATTTGTTAGAAATCCTTAGTGAGGAGCTAAGGTAGTGAATGTAGACTTCATTGAGAAAGTTGAACCACTATAAATCTTTGTGCAAATATTTCCTATTATTTCTCCTCATTTCCCTAAAATTTAAAAAAGCCAATTCATCCCCTCTTGACATATTTTGGTTGATCGAATCGAGCTTCCAAATTCTCAACATATAGAATGAAATTGAAGTGGACTTTAATTGATGGAAGTGTGACGGTGATATTGGTTGAAGGGATGTAATGAAATGGTGAAGGATGATTGAAATTTGGCGTGGAGAATAATAGAAATTCAAAAGATGGATTGTGACCCACTAGCTATTGGAGCTAGGAACCAACAATATAAACATATGGTTTTGAAATGAAAGAGGGTGGAACGTTATATTCAAGTGGAATCGATGAAGACTACAAGACAAGTCTTGAAGCCGATAAAGTTCTACAAAAGAACAAGAATGAAAGCAAAACTCTCAAAGGATTTCTATATATTCAAAAGTTGTGTTTACAAATGAACATAGGGTGCCTATTTATAGTGAGAATAGACAGCATATGAAAAGGTTTACAAAAGCATTACAACAATTATCTAAATACACTTGAATTCACTTAAATGCTTTGTCCTTTCATCTCTCTTTGTGTGGCTGATTAATATAGTGTTTTGCTGATCAATGCAGTATGGTTAGGATTAGGGGTGTAAACGAGCCGAGTCCAGCCTAAAACTCGACTCGAAAACTCGCGAGCTTAAAATTTTCAAGCTCGACTCGAACTCAAAAGATAATATTGTAACTCGACTCGAACTCGAAAAGACTCGAACTCAAAAAAATTCAAGAGCTCGATTAAAACTCGAAACTAAACTCAATTAAAACTCAAAACTAAGCTCGATTAAAACTCAAAACTAAGCTCGATTAAAACTCGAAACTAAACCAGATTAAAACTCGAAACTAAGCTAAATTTCAAGCTCGATTCAAGCTCAATTTTGAGCTCGATTCAAGCTCAATTAAAAATAGTTTTCAACTAACAATTGACGCGCATCGGTTAGAACCTCATGAGCTGCGCCATTGCGCCCAGCACAAAGCTGCCCATACCCTGGGTATCCTCACCTTTTATAATATCCCCAGCGCAAAGCTTCCTTAAACCGACCAATGTGGGTTACTGGGAATCTGGGATATAGTAAAAGATCATTGCTGATAGGAAAGTTGATTGAACCTCGGACACTAGTCTCTGAAGTGGATGACCAAACACATTATCACCCGAAACTGGCAGAGCATTCCCATGTTCGTCGACTCGGGTTGCTGATCCATATCTTTGGATGTCGTATTTGCATCTCTGATAGGATCAACTTCCACAGGATTCAGTGCACTTGTGGTCAATTCACATGGAACAATCACCGAAATTTCAGTGCCATTTCAAGTACTTAAATGTTTTATAAACTAAACTTAACATTTCTTTCTAACATAATCAGATGGCTTTACACAAAAAGAGATCTCTTCCATAAAAGCTCAGTAGAATCATCTTGAATTCATGATTCAGTGAGTTAGCTGTGCAGTAATAAAGTCCAAAACTCTCATAGGATCAACCTATCCTAAGCAATTACAATCAATGATTTATGCAATTGTCATAACTTTAACTCCCTAAACAAAGAGAACTAGTTGAAGGGTAAGGCTAAAAAACCTCCAATTTCCATGGAATTGAACTAATGATAAAAAGATGGACACATACCTCTCATTTATCTTACTCCTTTGCTCAGTGACAGAATGTTTTGATCGCATAGTTTTAGCCTTATCATTGTTCTTCCCATCTGCCTCTACAACCCTAGAAAAAGAGAAGAAGAATAAACAAAAGAAAACAAAAGGCACCATTTAAGAGACAATCATATAGAAATATGGTAATAGAGATGAGAGGGAAAAGTGTAGGATCCAATCTAATAAAAATAACATTGCTGATGTCGGTGTTGTTATTGGCGTTGACAAAGAGAGTATGAGCAGAAGAAGATCTTCTTTTTTTAGCCAAACTAATCTTCCTCTTGACTTCCGATTCCTGTTTTCATTTCTTTTTTCTTCTCCGGGGGTTAATTATCGTTTAGCCACCGTAACCTTAGGGGTAAATTAGCTTTAGGCTCTCTAGATTTATGCATTTTGTACAAAAAAGTCCCTCAATTGTTTAAATTTTAGCTTAAATTAGTCCTCACATTTAGGTTTTTCTTAATTTAGTCCATGATTAGGATTGTTTTCTTTAATTAGTTGTGTATATTTATTTTTCATGTTGATATGTTTATGTATAAGTATGTGAATGATTTATTTATGAGTCACATAACATCATTTTGCATAATTTGTATGTTGCCTTCATGTGTATAACTTAAACCCTAAACTCTAACCCTAACATATAAATCCTAAAACCTAAACCCTAAATTCTAAAACATAAATCCTAAACCTTAAACCTTAAACCTTAAACCTTAAATCTCATCACATAAACTCTAAATCCTAAACCCTAAATCCTAAAGCTTATCACATAATTAGTTATGAGGTAAGTACAATATAGTATTTTGATATTAAATGCTCAAACCCTTGATATTTATGATATTTGAACCCAAAACCTCAAAATATAACAACAATTTTAAAAAATAGTTATTAGAAATATTATCATTAGAAATATATTAAATATTTGTCATTAGATAAATAATTTTTTTATTAATTTAAAGTAAATAAGAATATTTATTCAAAAATATTTTTTAACCATTTTCAATTCAAGAATATTTATTCATCAATAATGTATTTTTAATAATGTAATTTTAAAAAATCTAAAATTATAATATAACATTTTTTTCGAGCTGCTCTCGAGCTTTTCGAGTCGAATATCGAGTAGTTTGTTTCGGCTCGTTAAGAACTCGAGTCGAGTTCGAGCTCGAGTCGAGTCCATTCGATCCGAGTATTTATCGAGCCATGATCGAGTCGATCTCGAATAGCTCACGATATGTCTCGTCTCATTTACCGCCATATTTAGGATCACATCATCGTCCCTCCAACAAGACAGCCCCGATACCTTTGTCACGAACAATACATTTCCAAGCGTGAAACTCCAAAAACACGCCATTATCACTAGTGAGCTTATACACCGAAATAAGATTCTTAGAAATTGTCGGAACATGAAGTAAATAATTTAAGTGAAGAGGTAGCTAGAGTAGAATGACCAATGCAATTAATTCGTAATCCATTACCATCACCAATGACGAGCTTACCAGCACCATGAAATTCGAAGCCATCTTCAACCACCTTGGCATCGGCGGTAATGTGATGTGGAGGCCCGAAATCAACACACCACTTCATTCGAGACTCATCACACGTACGGACTTGCCCATAACCACCAAAAAGAGCAATTGACGACGCCTCATTGTAGCCACACCTAGGAGATGAAGAATGAAACATACATACATTAGCTGAGGAGTCACGAGCATCACCCCCAAAGTGCCATTCGTAACGGTTGCAGTCCCAAAACCCGGGAAAGTTTGATCGAACCTATACCAACAGCGATCAACGAGATGTCGTAGCTTCCCACAAAACTGGCACTGAAAAAGATTTTGACCACGCCCTCTTCCACCAGCCTGACCGGAAAACGCACGCCCTCGTCCGAAAATATTGCCACAACCAGTAGACCCAGAAAAATTACCACGACCAACAGAATTGCTAATCGAATAAGGCAAATCAGCAACCATTTGGGGCGGGCCACCAATTAAATTCGGGATCGACACCTTAGCCATATTGGCAGAAACATCCGGACGGTCAAGCTGCTCGAATGTCTGCTGTTGCACCTCAGCATCAACTAACATAGCAGTGACAAGCGCAAGCGAGAACGGCTCCTGACTAGTATTGATAACAACAGCAAACGGACGATACTTCGACGGCAAACCATTGAGAATCGTTACCATTTGTTAGTACTCCGATACCGGAGCTCTACAGGCGGCCAAAGCATCACATGTTTCCTTGACCTGAGCGATATAGGCACGAATATTCTAATCCTCTTTGCGTAGCAACTTGAGCTTGTGATGGAAGCTCATAATTGTAGTAGGTGATTTGCTCGCAAAAAACGCAGTGACCCTCGACCAAATCTCCGCCACCGACTATGTTCCAACAAGGTGAGGTAGAATGCAAGGGTCGATCGTCGATAACAGCGACGACGCAATAGCACTATCTTGAGCGACAAAAACCTCATAGTCATCATTGTCCACGACAGCCCCACCATCAAGAACCACCGTGGCACTGGGCGACCGAACGCTGCTAGTTAAGAGTTTCTCCAGCTGATGACTCCTAACGGAGAGAAGAATTTGTTGCTTACATAGGAGGTAATTAGACTCATCGAGGACCACGCTGACTCTTTTGTTAGTAAACATGCCGCCAGGAGCAGCATCGGAAATGGCCAAGGGTGACATCTGCATCACCGAAGACGAACACACATACCTCCAGGAACGTCAACACCTAGCTGATACCATGTCAACTTTCTTTCTATTTCTTCAATAGGTTTTCTTTTTCTAGAAAGGCTACAGCACTAGGATACAGACTCACTTTTTATAGCTTACAGAATGCATGCACACTTATAACATAAAGTCAACTGGCAATAGCTGGCACTCATACTCTCCAACAAACTCACACCCATTCTCTCTCCAACAAACAGGCCGATAGTGAATTTCGTCGACTGTAGTGGTGACGGTAACAACGACATTGAATTTTGGGTTAAATGTTTGAGGTATTTGATTTAAATATATATATAAATTTTGTTTTAAAATAAAAATAATTAGGCCATATAATTGTTAGATAATTTTTTAACGATAACTATAGATTAGGTGCTTAAAATGATAATATTCATAATGTTAGATATTTATATTAACTAAAAAGAATTCAGACACCTAAATAATAAAATAAATATAACTTAGAAGTTTTTTTAAAAATAATTTTGTTACATATTATTTAAGCTTAATATAAAAGAATAATTACATTAGTTTGAACATTTTATTAAAAAAAGTTTAGGCAATTAAATTATTTAGTTTAATTATAAAATAAGTGCTCAACTTATTCTTTTTTCTTAAATAGGTGTTCAATTTTTTTTGAATCATCCAGATACCTAATGTTACAAATATTATCACTTTAGGTGTTTCGGCCGGACGACCATTCAATTTTTTTCATTAAAGATATGTGTCGCGCTCTAGTAATTTTAAAAATTTCATTTAAAAATTAAAATTAAATTTAAAAAACTCAAAAATTTCAAACACGTAAAAAAATCCAAAACTTGGAAAATATCAAATTCAAACCCTAAATTCACACCGACTGTCGCTATTTACTATCGATGAAGCTCCACCCAATGATCGATAACCTTATGAAATCACGACCAATTGACGATCAATTGATGACCAATCGACATGTGTACTTTGACGAACCCCATCGACGAATCAAACCCGACTAACAACAATCCAAATCACGACATTAGGCGACGTGACGACTACGATGGCACCATTGCCACTACCATCACCAGCCGCTGATCATCAATCACCGGCGTCACCGCGGGTCACACACACTTCCCAATACTCCTCGTATCCCAAGTTTATCACACCCCTTCAATAGCCCCTCCAACATCCCCATCTACCAACTGCGTATGACCAATTTAGCAAATGATTTGCATAGCATTGGTGTTTATGCAAATGATTTTCAACCATACTGAATAGGGTTTTTGGCGATACTATGAAATGAATTTTAAATCCCTATTTCGTCCGAATTTTCGGTGACAGCTAGAATCAATCGATCTTGTTCATAAATATAGCTAATATGGCGAAATACCTACCTTGAACTGCTTGTGATTTCATCACTTGATCCTTATTTCATGGCTTTTACCATTTCTCCAAACTTATTACAATTTCACTGATGAAGTCATGGAAGGCTTCAAGTTTCTCAAACTCTTTGCAATATTATCAATCCTTTCAATTGTTTCGGTTGAAGGACAACTTTCGGACGGTCTAAATTTCACACCGGAAGCAGCGGGAGTGGTTCATCATCACCGACTCAAGCAGGGATGGACACGGGCAGTGGCGGATC